TCCAGAGTTCTCTTCCAACTCCTACACATCAGTGATTCTGAGCTGCTGGCTGTGCCACACTGCGAGGCCACGGGGACAGCAGTGTTGGCATTCCTGGTAACCACAGTCCCCGTGGTGTGAGATGCTTCCAGCCACACCGTGGAGGAGCAGCTGGCAGCGCTTCCATGGGAATGGCAGTGGGTTCATCCCTGCAGGATGAGAGCAGCGCAGGAGGAGAGAGGAGCAACCACACGCAGGTGTGTGCAAATTGGCCATCAATTAACACAGACTTGTGAGTAGAGATGGCAGGTCCCCAAAGCACTGAGGGCAGCTGGGTGGGATGGGGAAGGTCTGGAGACAAGGCCTGCAGCAGAGGTGGGCTGAGCTCGGGGAGCTTCCCAGGAGCACAGCTGGGCTCTGGGACCTCTGGCCCTGCAGGGCACAATGGGGTCACACTGTGGCCATAGGCAGCAGCACCATTGCTGCTGCATCCCACCCTTGGGAAGGGATGCAGGAGTCTGACCTGCCCTGCACCTTGCCCAGCATTCACTGATGTGGTTTTCCACAGTGATTCAGCTCAAGTAGCTCAAAGGTTACATTTTTCTGTTAATTTGGCATTTTTTCTTTTAATCAACTCCGGTTCTAGAGCTTTCTACTGTGAACACTGCAGAAAACACTGCCTGCTGCTGCCCCTCGAGATGCCCACCCTGTGCCACCCTGTCCCCTTCTCCCTTGCACTATTGACATCTGAGCTGTCTGTGCCCGCAGGGAGCAGCACAGTGCTCCCCTTGCTGATCCCTCACAGAGGTTCCTTCTGAGTCAGCAGCACTGCCTTCAGCCGGGGCATAATTAGACAAACAAACTTACTCTGGCTGCTCCTGAATTAATGGAGAGCTCGCAGACTCTTATCAAGCATCTGATGGCAAGTTGCTATTTGAGTTAGAAAAATACCTATTAGTTATTACAAAACTCCGAAGTTTCCCAGCTCAGCTAATTTCTCAGCATTATTTCCTGCAGTGATGCCACCAGCGCCGGTGTTGTCACCTCCCAGGGTGGTGCCAGGATGGGACGTGGCATCCCCAGCTCTGTGTCACTGGGGCAAAGCCATGAAGCCACATGTCCCCATGTCCTCTTGGGTGTCACAGGGCCTGAAAGACTGGGAAAGAGGTGGCTCTGGGATGAGCTCACTGTGGCCAGTCAGGACCTAAAGGGGCTGGGGGAAAGGAGGGGACAGACTCTTTAGGGTCTGTTGGGACAGGGCAAGAGGAAATTCTCTCTAATTAAAGATGGGAGATTTAGATTGGCTACAAGGAAGAAGTTGTTCGTGCTAAAGGCGGTGAGGAGCTGGCTGGCCAGAGAAGCAGTGCTGCCCATCTTGCAGGCAGCACAGGTCAGGCTGGGGGGCTCTGAGCACTGCCAGAGCTGGGGATGCTCACTGTGGAGTGACTAAAAGTCACTCACAGGTTGCCTTTAGAGGTCCTTCCCAAACCAAGCTGTGATTCTATGTCTCTCAACTCTGTCACTCCTCAGTGTCTCTCAGCTCCCTGCAGGTCAGGAGGTCCCGGTGCCCTGTGCTGACCCAGTGCTTTCTGTTTCTCCCTGTGCAGGTGGAGATAACGACCTAGACCAAACTGTGTGCACATCAAGGGTGCTTTGCATGATTTGGAGATAGTCAAATGACGGGAGAGGCGAGCGATGGAAGCGCTCGCAGGATATTTAGAGGAAAAAAAAAGCAGCTTTGCTCTGTTATCTGCGCGCGGTCGCATCTGCGGTCCTCAGTGCGGCTCACGGCGCCCAAACCCCACGGGGAGAGAAAGTCCTGGGATACGGAGAAATGAAGAAGCAAAAAGCTGCACGGACTTTTCTTTTTGCACCATCTGCCTCCTACCAGCGTTATCTGAACGGTGGAAATTTCCTACGTTGAAACGTAATGCGAGATCAGAAGAAAATCTTGACTTCTACAAAAAAGACCTGTTCTCCTAAATGGATATGAGCAACTTTGGAAAGTGCAGATAAGGGAAAAAAAAATCAGTTTTTCCCTCCGTTTCAGCAATTTTAAAGCCATAAATTGAGATGTTTCACCCAGAAAAGCACAGACAGGTGTGCCATAGAGGCCATGAGCTCCTCCCTGCCCACCCTGCTGGCACTGCTGGTGCTGCTGGCCGGCCCTGGGGCTGTGTGCACACTGCGCTCACAGTCAGCAGTGCTGCTGAGGGAGAGCATCCGCATAGTGAAGGACATGCAGAAAGAGGTATGGAGCCCAGCACTGGGCCAGGGGGGCTGAGCTGCACTGGGATCTCCATGCAGACAGACACACAGACTGCAGGTGTTGTTCACACTGGTATCAATCTCCTTATATTGTTCCTCTCTTCTCTTTCTCTCAAGGCTTCCTGTGGCAAGATGAACGTGACAGATATCTTTGAAGACAGTAAGGTAAGAGGAAAGCCAGATGAAGAGCTGGTAGAGGGGGCTGCGGGAGGTGCTGGGAGAGCAGGATGGAGTCTGCAGTGGGAGCTGCATGGGATGAGGAGCCTGCCAGTGCTGTGGGGTACCATTACCACCTGGGTTCTTCTGCAGCCAAAAGGGCCACAGGGAGCACAGTGCTGAGCGTGTGCTTCAGCAGCACAGAGCTCATTTGTGCAGGGTTTTCAGAAAGGAAGAGAGGAACTTCTTCCTTTGCCTTGGAGCCCCGTGTCACTCTCAGACACCCACACTCACTGATGGTGCTGTGCCTCAGGCACCGTTAGGTGTGCTATCCCTCTTTAGCCCTTTATCTGGAGGAAGGCTCTTCAGTTAGCAGAAGATTCGATGGCAGATAATAAAGCCTCTTTCTGCTCTCAGAATTGCTGCCTAAGGCGAGAGCCCAGCCCCAGAGTTCCTGTTTTCACAGAAAGGGCCCCCTGCAGGCACAAAGCAAGGAGCAGAGCTGGGTTCCTGGGCAGAGGGAGAAGGGAGCAGGGTTTGAGCAAGTGTCAGCCAGCTGCAGACCCGGGCCAGCTGCTTATTGGAGGCATTTGAGATGCAAGCTGAAGAAACAGGAGCAGCAGCAGCTCCCACCTACCCACCGCGTTTCCCAACACAGGCAGCATCAGGAAGGCAGCATTCTACCAGGAAAGCAACCAAATGATTTCTTCACTACTGTGGATGCTTTTCTTCTCACCTTACTGGGGCTGAGGATTTGCAGAGCTGCACGAAGCCCAGGCCCAGAGCTGATGTGGCTGAGCTGCGCCTGGGGTCAGAGGAGGCAGGGAGGCTGAGCCACCTACCCCTTAGACTAGAAATGCATTCTTTGTGCTGTTCTAGCCCACTGAAAAGCTGAACAGAGCAGTCTCTTAAACAGCCACATGCGTTTTCTTGCAGATGAAGAGCAGAACTGAGCTCTTGTGTGAAGCTTCCACAATTATCTGGGAGAGCCAGCACTGCCACAAGAACCTGCAGGGCCTCTTCCTCAACATGCGTCAGCTCCTGAATGCCAGCAGCACCCTCAAGGTAAGGCTCTGCCTGTGCCCAGGGCAGCCCACTGCCCTCAGCCCACGGCACCGCATGCAGGTGGATGCTCTGCTGCACCCTGGGGTTCTGCTGCTCACCAACAACTCCATTTGTTTGACACACACACACTCTGGGCACGTTGCTCAGCACTTTGCAGCCATGCGCTGCCCAGTTCTCCTCTCAGCCAAGTCTGTGTAGGAAAACCAGGGCACTGGGCCAACACCTTCACAGTCTGTTTTCCATTGCAGGCGCCGTGTCCCATAGCAGCAGGCAACACTACTGCAATGGAGAAGTTCCTCAGGGACCTACATGGATTCCTCCAACGACTTGTAAAAGAGAATTTATTGTTTCCTTTTTAATTATTATATTTGATGCTGTGTTTCCAAAGATTATTTATAGTGATTCTTTAAATAAATATATATATTTTTTTGAGTAAGTTTGCTGACTGTTTCTAGAGGAAAGATGGGTGCAGATTTGCAGTGTAAGTTGATAGAAAACTGTGCTGGGGTGGTGAATAGGGTTCAGACTGCACTGGTACTGATGGAAGTGGACCTGCAAGGAGTGAATCTTTGCTTAGAACCAGCCCCAGAGAAGCCAGGCTCCAAGCAGTGCCCAAACTTCACAGAACCATGTGGCTAAAGCTAGAGAGATGGGAGGGCTGTAAAATGAGTATGGGGTTGAGCAAGTCCCTTGCTAAGTGTTTGATATATTTGACTCCCCCCTCATTTAATGCTCTGGCATAGCCCTTGGTGGCCCAAGAGTAAAGAGGCTGCAGCTGAAAGAATAGGGAAAGAACATAGCAAAAGCAAGCCATGGAAGGGACAACTCAAAGCAGTGGTAGTGGTCAGGCTTTCCCCAATAGCAGGGGGCAGCCTCACAGGTCTATCAGTCTGCAATTTTGGCATGGTGTAGGAGAGGGCCTTGGAAAGTCCCAGGACTGAAGGGTTTGGTTTGTGCATCAACTGAGTCAGAATACTCAGGGAAGCTGCAGAGTTAGCAGACCACAGAAAACCTGTTACCTGCTGCGTGCGCAGGCTGAGACATCTTCCAGAAGAAATGCAAGGCAAAGGAAACATCACTGCAGGTAACGACTTCATGCTGTGCAGGGGGCACCAGGCCTGCACTGCAGCTCAAGGAAAAGTGTCAGGGTGAGAAGCCTTGTGCTCATCAGTAGCAGCTGTTCAGTGCACACACACAAGGCAGGGCCATGCACAGCACTGCCTGCGGTTCAGTGCAGCGGCTCCTGCTCAGACTCTCCTACTCCCAGGGCAGCTCAGGACCCTCCCAGCAGTGGTGCTGCTCCATGGGGTGTAATCTCCCAGTCCTCATCTTTTCTGCAGTCTTGCTGAACCTGCTCTCGTGCTGCCCTGGCTGCAGCTCTCGTGAGAGACCATTGCAGCAGCATCCCCCCAAACCTCCCTACAGCTCTGCAGACTGCTCCAGCTGCCCCTCCTGGCGTCACTTCTGCCTCTCAAAGGATTTACAAAGAGGCTGGATGGATGAAGCTCTCTGAAAAACAGGTAGAGAGGGAGAACTAGGAATCAACGATTTTATTTCATGCTCCAGGAACACAATACTGATATGTACAGCGTAGGGAATAAAATTTAACCATACAACAAAGGATATTAAAATAAACAGTTGGAAAACAAATAAATAGCCAGACACGTTATAGAAACAGATAAGCAGTTTTTCTTCTGTACAGAACTGGCTAAGCAGAACTGCTGAGAAAGGTGAGAGCTGGGTGTGCAGACTGAGTTAGTTACTGAAAGGCACTAAGGACCATTTTCACTTCCCTTGAACCTGAAGAAAGGTTCCATAACAAGTTAATTCTGAAATGATTCATTTACACTGCATTAAACAACACGGCCAGAGAAACTCTCTGCGATTTGCTGGAATGAGGGGAAGCTTTGGTGACAAGATGCAAGGAATGAATAGACATCATATGCATGCTAGAGTTAAGTGGCATGGACGGGCCTGGGATGAAGATGGCTCCATCAACTGAGCCATCAAAAACACACACAAACTTAAGTCCTTCTCCTTTAAGACATGGTAAAGGGACATTTGACATTATTGCAGACTGTCCAGAGCTGCAGAGAGGGCCCATACAGCAAACCTGCAAGCAGGGCTCTGTTGTGAAAGGAAGTTTCCAAAACTTAAGCAAAACAGCACAGTGAAAATGTAAGCCAAGCTGACAGATCATCATGAAGACTGTTCTACATCAAAACAAAGTCCTCTGGTAAGAGCAGAGAATTTGTTCTCCAAAACAAGCCCCTGTACCAGGAAATCACAACCAGTTCCTCCCAAATCTAATTACAAAGCAGTGCAATTATTTACTTGAAGTTTTTCTCTGCCTCACGGGTCTTTACAACATGCAGAGCACTTTTGTTTTCAGCAGAAATAACAGGAATTCAACCCTTCCTTGTTAGATTTTACGTGTTGTAAATGCAGAGTCAGGATGCACAGTCCCAGTTTTCATTTGCTGATGATCTGCTGAGTGAAGAATTCAGAGAATTAAAGTACAGTTCAGGAGAAACACCCTTAAGAACCGATTATTCAACAGAGGAAAGCACAGCAAAACATTAAACAAGAGGAAATAAAGTTTGCCCTTGTTTTCTGCTCAGTCTAGAACATCCCTGCCTGTTTCTAAACTGGCATTTGAGATATTTTCAGTCTGTCTTAGCTGTCAAATTCAACACGATATTCTTAGCTGGAGCACATTCAGAACAAGGTGAACTCCTCCAGAAGAAATCTAACTAGTTTAGATCAGACAAAAATCCTGACTCCTCACCTCTTTCCAAATGCTGGACCAGAAACAACTGCCAGTGTTTGCAGCCGTAGCTTTGACGCGTTTGGGTGACAAAGCCAGGCCTGCTCACTTCTCCCCCAAGATGACCACCAGGTTCTCCTCCCTCAGCACAATCTGAAGAAACACTTCAGAAAAAGCACAGGGGAAGCTGAGAGCTCTTTTTGAATTGCACTGAATGCAGCTCCAGATCAACAGGTGCCCCTGCAAGACCCATGGTAACTGTCACAGCTGGAGCTGCTACAGACTGGTGAGGTGCATCCAGCTCAACAGTGTGACCATGAGAAAGGGCAATCTGCTCCAAGTGCAGTCAGCACTGCACAGGAATGTTCTGGTAATTGCAGACATGGCTACGATCAGGCATGAGACACCAAGGAGTTGTCTTGCTCTTTGCTTGCTTGGTATAACCAAGCTCAAGTATTCAGTTTGTGTTATTAGTCACAGCTTTTTTTTTGTAACTCTAGGAAGCATGGAGATTAAATGAAAATCATACCTAATTAACACCACACTGACAAGGGAACTGCTAAGGTACCTGCAACTGCTGTGCTCCAGCAGGAGTTGATGCAGCACACAGCCCAAAGCAGATTCATTTCTGTGACACAAAAGCAACGTATTGAGAGGTTCAGTGTCTGTCAGCAGCACAAAAAGCAAAGAAAAAGAGCAGCCACCATAAATGGTTATCAGCAGAGACCAGATTTCTTTCCCCTCAAAGCAGTCAGAAAGAGGAGATGGTGCACACAGACACGAACAGCATCAGCTATTTCAGGGGATGTTGCAGCACTGGGACAACTGGGAAATTCACACCTATCCTAAGACAGGAGAAATTCATCCTCAGCTGCATCCAGGGGTGAGACAAATGGAGCCATAGTGTTCAGTCCCCCTGGTGTTAAAGCCTTCCCCTCAAATAATCTCTGCTGTCCAGATCACAACAAAACAATTCACACCAATTGAAACCACTTCCAGCTCATAAGCATGAAAAGCAGCCAAAGCAATGCAGCAATGCAGCCTTCAGAGGAGGAAAACAGCTCTCTTATCTGTGCATCAGCCCTCACTCTCCACGTTGCCAGCAGATCACACAAATAGACAAAAATCAAAGCATTAGACTACTAGCGTTGCACTTAAACAGAGCATGGTCCCTTCCCACAAACCTCAGGCTACTGTAGCTCTAAGTACTCTTCTACCCAACTACTTTTTGTACAGCAAGACTGCAGATGAAGAGAGTTGTGTCTCAAATACACAACATGATCAGCTTAATAACTACAGTGAAATACTGAAATAAAAAGGCTCGATGCTCTTAACTCAAAGGTTTGCAGCAACCACATTCAAACGGATCAGTGCAACAGAAGACAACAGTGAAAGCTGCCAGTGATGTGCAAAGCAGGACACAGATTTACCAGCATTAAGTTTTAGGATTCCATCGACCATTTGGAGCTATTATGACTAGTACTTGAACACACCTAGAGTCCTCATTTCCTCTACATTTCAAGGATTACCAACAAAAGTTCCCTGCACAACACATTGTTTAACACATGGAATTCCACAACCATAAAATAGACCAGTTTAATATTATGTTAATATAACATACAGTATACAGGCAACTAAGGAAAAATACATATCATTTTTTAATTAAAGCTCCACCCCAGCAAGGCATGGATTCTACAGCCACTTCAAGCTGTGCCATCTCAACTTCCATATTCTGGGCAAACCTTTCACACTCACTGCTTTTTACGGCAATTCTGAACACGTCACACCTACTGCAGCAGGGAGTCAATGACAGCGCCTGGCTTTGCAGAACGTTTTCTGTTTGGAGAGCAGAAAGGAAAAGAAAAAAAAAACAATAATACCACACACATCATTATACTGTCCAGGAAAGGCAGGGAGCAGCCACTTCTCAGGTCAGAACTACACATCATCGACCTTGTCACAAAGCAGCAGAACAGCCATGCTGAAATCTTCCCCAACTTTCCAGCAGTAAAACACACGTGCTGTCAGCGTGTCGAACCAGCAATCAGTGAAATAAAAACAAGCAGCCAGAAGAGGGGAATGTGAAAGCAGGAAATCAACCCCCCCCCCAACAGACAAAACTTTCTGGACAATATTTTACCACAGTGAAAGATTTCAGCCTGGTTCTACTACACTTGACATCAGTAACCCTTCTATCATGCAGAATTTTAGCATTTTCTCTTAGCTGTAAGTCATCAAACATTTGTCTCAAGTTTGCAGACACCAGCTTAAGCCTTTCCCTGGGAAAACTCCCCATTACATACAGATACTCCAAAGTTCTTCACCTTCGACCAGTCTTGGGCCTGGATCTTCCCTTTGAAGTCCTCGGCCTCTCTAGCTTCATCAGAGATTGCCTCAAGCTTTCTTCAGTGTAAGCTAAGTAAACATGGGAAAGGTCCACCTCAAAGGGCTAAAGAAAGATAACAAAATACCAGAACTATTTAGGAGGTTGATCAGCTGCTCCTTTGGAACACCAGAAAGACTTCCAACAAGAAAACTGAAGTTGAACAGTTTTCCCATGAATACAAAGGGAATGCACAGAAAGCAGAACTTAAACCTACACAGTTCAATAAAAGCTCATTAAGAGTTACTCACATCTTTTTCTTTCTTGTCCAGGACAGGAGTCTGCTTCCTCATATTGTTTCCTGTATATGCAACACATTTCTTAAAAAAAAAACAGAAAGGCCCATTAGTGAAATGTAGTCAGTTTTACTGAGCACTGTACAGCTCCATCAGTTTATCTCTGGGCTCAGTTAAACTCCTCAAAAGCTTATGCTAACATTAGCCTGTATGTAAGCTAGCTTACCAGCTGCCATTCTCCAATGTCTTCATTCCAGTGAACATAGTTCTCAATCATTTCCTAGACAGAAGATAAGGTCATTGTTAGAGTTGCACAACCTACACTCCAGATGCATCCCAAAAGCCAAGACAAGTTGCTTAAGAACAGCCTTGACCACTCCAAGGTATTTTTAATCCAGGCAGCCATACCACATTCAAAACCCCTATTTTATAGTCTGAAGGCCACAAAAAAACATCACTCCCAAGCTGTACACAATGAAGTTCCCACTAAAGCATGGATTTACCATTATGTCGATGCAATCACAACAGCAGTAAGGACTTTCCACACATGCACGTTTGTACTACAGCTTAACAGACGAGTGTCAGTCAAGTTGCCTGTCACTGCCTTTGGATGCCAACTCATTCCATTTGTTGGTGGACTAAATAATGCTGGAGGGCTAAGTGAATACTGTATATGACCACATCAAAGGCTTTAGCTCCCCATCTGTACCTGGTAGTCCTGAGGAATGAAGTTGTCTATGATAAGCATCTGGAGACGAAGTTCCCTGCTCAGCTGCCGAATGTTCTCCAGTAAGCCTTCAATCTCTCTCTGATGCTCTTGTTGCAGATCTGCCATCTGTGGACAAAGCATATGAGAGGTCAGAACTAATATGACACAATAACAACTTAAAAGAATTGTTTTCTGCCTGTATGTTTTTGGGAAACGAAAGCAAACTCTAGTTAGAAGTGCTAGAATATTTCTCTCAAGAATAAACCCTCCTAAACGTTCTAGCTCAGAGATGGTTAAAAACAGCATTAAGTTCTTGGTCTCAGGAAAGATGAAATAGGCTTTCTGTCATTCCAAGTACCAACAGCAGGCAAAGTGTGCAAACAAGTTCCATCTCTGGCAACATCCCAAGGAAAATCTCAGCTCCCGAAGACAAAAACGTGCTTTTCATGAATCAGGAAGGCTCGATACCAACCAAGTGACTGATTGAATGTGACTGAGAGAGAATAAGAGCAACATGCACAAAGAGCAGCAAGCTAAGAGATGGGGGTTTGAGCAGCTGCAAAGCAGGAGACTGGACTGCCAAACAACTTCTATTTTGCTCAGAAATAACCAATGGTTTTCCTCGAGGAAAAGCTCTACAATGTACCCCAGCGCAGATCTGACACGAAGCTTAATTTGCTCTTTCCAATGCATAAACCAAGCATTGAAAGAATGAGGCAGCACACAGGCATTTCTAAACTGTAGCACTCTAACCAGAGTGCCAAAGCTGATGGCTTGCTCTTTCCACCTACAGCTCCTCCACCACAAGCTGAATGCTTCAGAACACTGACCTCTGATTTTGCAGCCATAAGCATGGTCCAAACTTTCTTCAGTTTTTTTGTTTTTCCCTGTGCTTCCTCCTGGAGGCTGGTGTACTTCTCCTCAATGTCCAAGCGTTCTTGCTGTACACAACATTTAACAGACATCCACACATTAGCACAATCAAAGAAAATATTTCCAACAATATGAACAGGAAGGGAAGTAACTCGGACAAAACAAAGCATTTGCCAAGGGCACAGACACCTGGCTTAGCCAGGCTGGCTGACACTCACAATGATCACACTGTCCTGCAGGTGAGCACTGGTTACACATGCCTCTAAAATGTTTGATTTCTACTGAGCTTCACAGTAGAGTCATATTTCACCCACAAGAAGAGGCAAAGACAAGTAATGGAGCGTCCTACCACTTCCAGATAGCTGGGAGCACAACCCACCTCCTTCTCCTCGAGTTCTTTGCGAAGCTGCTCTGCTCTCCTCCTTCGTTCTTCCAGCTCCATATTTGATTCTTCTAGAAGCTTCTCTTGTTCTTCTGCTTTTGCCAGCAAGTCCACTCCTCCTACAATCACCTTCTTCTCCAGCGCAGACAGTTTCTCCAGCAGGGACTGGTGCTCTTGTCTAGAGAGAGACAGGTAAAGTTGGGAACTTCCTGTCTTAAAGTGCTCACAAGGCAGCCAGGTTCAGCTCAGTTTTTACATCCCAGACAGCACTCATAGGGCTTGAAAAACTTGCCTAGCTGCAAAGGCTTTAAAGTAGGGGTGAGGCAGTGCACAGGGATTTCCTTAACTCCAGCTCCCATCACTTTCATGCAAACAAAACCAACTCAGCAAACGAGTCTCTCCTGCTGCAGTTTCCCTCTGTCAGGGGCTGCCAGGCACCAGTGGTGTTACCAGGATACCCAGGGTGCTCCCTCCCACCCCAAGAGCCCAGCACAGCGATGCTGGGATGCAGACAGACTGCAACAGGTTGTAATGGAACAGAAGCAAGCGAAACGAGGTCACAACAGTGCAGCTGAGAGACAAGCCAGGAACGCCAGCAGCTGTTGAGTGTGCCCACAACATGGTCCTGGGCTGTAAGGAACCCACTTTGCTATACAGCTACTGCCCACTAGCAAGCAGTACAGCAGTTCTGCTACTCTTCACTGGCCTCCAGAGTTCGGAGGATTCGTTTTAAGTTTCTAGGCCATCTCAACTAGATAAGGCTAAGAGAAGAGTGGTAGAAGAATGGAGTTTCTTTTTGCTACCTGCTCTAATCTGCAAGCACAGAGGAAGCTCCTCTTTCACTCTGATAACAGCAAGAGCTGATGTTCAGCTTACACAAAGCTTGACTAGCATCTCACCATGCATCTCCACATATTGATATCTGACTTGTAGATTAAGGGAGGAAAAACCCACAACACCACAAAAACTACCCAGAGCAGGGCACTCACTGAGCTTTAAGCAAATCTTTTTCTCTCTTCTCCAGTTCAGCTCTGGCTTTATTTCTTTCTTCTTCTTCCATATCAAGCTTAGTTTCAAGAGCTTTTCTCTCCTCTTCAATCTTTGCTTGCATCTCTACCATCTTATCAGGGGAAACTTTCTTTTTCCCTTTCAAAGAGTGGAGAAAAAAATATTTCACAAAAATAATACAGTCTCTGTATCACAGCAATTTTTTTCCCCTCAAGCTAAAATTTAATTCAATGTTTAAGTGCAGTTATCCATGTCAGAAGTCATGGATTCCAAGCTGAGCACATCTCAGTCTTTCAAATCCCATTTTAATGTTTGCTTATTTGCCTCCAGTACTTACAACAAAATACATGAAGAATACTTGTGGAAAAGAAACATTGCCTAAAGAGAAGCCTGAGTCAGAATCCTGGATGCCTTAATTATGCAGATTAGACCAACTGAAGGAAAAAAGAAGATTGGAACCCAGCCTATACAGATCTCCCCAAAACCACAAGTCTCCCACAAGTTTTACATCCCCCTTTACTCGTTACAAAATGACAAACCCTTCACTTTGTTTTGCTCTTCTCTGGACATGAGAGAATTACCCACAGAATCCAGATGCCTAGAAACTAATAGAAACTGTCTAGTATTAAGAGACTTTCACAGTGATGTAATGCATATGGTCAAAGTACACTTGAAAAAATGTTGTTGCTCACTAAAAGGCTTATTTCCCTTCAGTCTTCGTGCCATTCACTTTTGTTTATATTCATTTATAACCTCCAGCAGAGGCAAAGATACACTGGCACCTGTAAGCATGCATGCACACAAGAGCACTGTAAGGACCTCAGCGCTACAGCAGATAATATCTTGGCTTCCATCTGCTGAATTTAGGAGCTAGATCCCTAACACTCATTTCTGGATCTGCAGAGAAAATCCCTCACCAGTTAGTTTTCAGGTAACCCAAGTTGGAAGTTTTATTTCAAGAAGTGTTATACAGAGATCATCACATGAAGAGGTGAAGCAGATAAAGGTTTGCAACATACTGTTACACAGCCCTGTGTGTTTTCAGTTTTGGAGACCAGTGAACTACACTGAGTGGGAGGAGCTTGAACGAGCTGTGCAATTGTATTTTGAGGGGCTGAAAAATCTATTAGTGAAAAATCAAAATGACACCAACCTGCTTGATCTTGCATTAAGAGGAAGTAGAAAGCACATCGCAGAGAGGCAGCGTACACATAAAACAGGAGGAAATAAAATATATTACTGCTTGATCATTGGAACAAAGTTCATCAGCATCAGAACAAGCACTGATTTTACATGCATGTTTCTAGAGTAGAAAACGGAATAATCACTAAGAAATGAAACCCCAGAGTGAATATTAACGAATCACCATTTTGTGCTAAAGCACAGAATGTTTCTGCAGTGTCCTTTGCACATCCAGGATAGTTTGAACTCACTCCTGCATTCCTCTGCCCATCCAATGCAGTGCAGAACTTAACGTAACACTACGAGCCTGCCGCAAAGATCATGCCCTAAGAAACAGATTGGAGGTGTCTTCTTCATTAACAGACCTAGTGTTTTTTCCCCTTCCTGAAGGCAGCCAATTCTCTTAAATTACCTGCAAAATCTTAGCATACAGAAGACTTAAGTTTTAACCAAGTTAAACCGAGCCAATTTTTTTGCAAGATAATGACAATGGCACATAAGATATTAGTAGGTTAATTGGCAGTAACTGATGCTTCCATAGAGGTATAGAGCCAGGTTTGGTTATTTAAGCAAATGCAGTAAGAAAAGCAGGACAGGGAAAAGATGAAAGGCACCACATGCAGAAGGGCTACATGTGAGGACAGTTAATATCCCAAACCACACAGACAAACCACAAAAGCTCAGTGCAACCTCTGCAACATCTTCAGACTTGAAGGAAATGGACTGATCCATCCATCAGTGGTTTGCTGTTAACTGTCCTCATCCAAAGAGAAATATTCAGGTTTTGAGCAAGCTTCGAAAGAGCAAGTTTGAAGCAAGCAGGTTTCCAAGTGTATCACCATTATCCACAGGTCACACTTAGGCTGTGAGCCTTCTTACCTGTGACCACTTCCCCTGAGCTGATGCTTTATACTAACACATCTACTAACATTAATTTAGGTGTAAACTAAAGGTTAGGTATACACAGCAGGACTTCCCAGGTTCCCCACACACAGAAGTGTGGATTACAGCTAAACACATCAACCACAACGACTGGTAAAGCTCCTACAAGTTCAAAATGTGATTTTTTTTTGTTTGTGTGATTAAAAGCAAACACTGACTGTAAGTCTTTCCAAGGAACAGCTTTCTTCCTCTGATCAGGAGCAGACCAAACTTTCCTCGCTGCTAGAAATCAAGACCCTTTGCTCTTCTCAACTATGCCCTCCTGTGGCACCCAAAAACTTAACCTCATGAGGCAGTCTGAAGAAAAAGCAGCAACCACTGCCCTGGTTTTGGGTTGTTTTTTGAAGGTCTGCCAAAATAAAACCAAGCTGTTAAGAAGTTTTCCTTCTAAGTACAAAACTAGAGTAGCTTAACTGCTGACTGTTCATTCATTCAGTCCAAACTTAGTTTTAGGAAGGCAACATCCAATATAACGTAACACCTTCCAAGAAGAAAGCTGCTCAGACTTTTTCCTGACATTTTAGAGGGATTGTTTAAAACAGGAATTGCAAGCTTCCGACCTAAGTTTCCCAAATGTCTTTAAATCTTGTTAAGTAAGCCTACTGAACCGCTCGCCATTCCCCGTCTTGCTGGCAATGCACACATCAAACCACCATTTCAAGCGTGAAAGCAACAAAGGAAAGGCATGCTTTAGCCAAATTGTAGGTTCAGGTTTATCTTCCAATAGACATAGCAGGGGAAAGTGCAGCACTGCAGAATGAAATGCACAGATCATGGAAAGGCCAAAGCTTAAAGGACTTAAGAGCTCCCACTCACTAGTGAAGGACTTATCCAGAGGTTTCTCTATGACAGAGCATGTGGAGTCTGAACTACTGCTGCTGCTACTGCCTGGAAAACAGAAATGAGTCCCACAGAAAAACCCAGAGAGGAAGAAACATGCAGATGGGAAGTTAGTTCTAAGGAAAAGAAACCCAGAAGAGACAGCAAAATAGTTTTTAAAGGCACAGAGTTCTCATTAGGAAGCATTTGCTAGAATCCCCCCCAGACTCAGCTTGCAAAGCCATCATTTCCCAGCACAGAATGGCATGCTCAGAGAGACAGTTCAGTTAAAACCCATCTTAACAAGCCTATAGCTTAAAATCTCATGCCAAGGCTACTTCCATTTCAAGCAATAGCACAGAAAAACAGATCACAGTGAAGGTGGCTGTGGATATCTACAGTAACAGAAGATTCAGTGACCAGGATCCTTCCCAGTGTTATGTACATGGCAATGTACACTTCCCACTCTAGAAGAGAGAATCAGCTACACAGGGACAGCTACTGTGCAAGCTCCTGCTGAGCACAGCCTTACTCAGGGAACTTAACTTCCAAACAAGCTGCTCTCGTTAAGCAACAGCTATTTCCCCTCTGTTCTTTTCAAGCAGTATTTTAAAGACAGCTTTCTCTTGTGGCAGATTTGGGCAGAAATTATTCCTTGATGGATAGAATGGTCAATCTGTTGATCCTCCTGCTTCTAGAAAGCACCAAGGGGGAAAAATGAAGTAAAATGGTGTGTTACAACCAACACTTGGCTTGGACAGACTTGGAAGGTGTCATTTATGATTCTGCTTGGACAGACATCAGAATGAAGGGGAATCTACTTAATGCAGGAATGCTGTTTAAAGAGATGCGAGTGATTTAAGACAGTCAGTTTAAATGCCAGCATTTACTGGACAAATTGGAAATTAAAGCACAGCACTGGGCTTGACTTCCCTACTCCCCATGAATAAACAAAGGCTCCAGGGATGCAGCAGGCTCCCTACAGTTCTCCATGGTACAGTGACTTGCAATTCTAGGCTCAGCAGCATCCTCTGGGGCTTAGACACTACGTGCTAGTTTATCACAGTGTAGGATAAAGTAGACTTTGCCATGGGAATTCCAGAGTGTCCCCAAATAAGGGACGTGTGGCTCCCATTTAGCTTTTCAGCTAGCACACAGACACCCCCAAAGGTCAAGTTTTTCCTCTATCAGCATAAAATAGGATGCCAGAATGAAGCCAGTTAGTAAACATCCACAGGACAGATGAATCCTTTGCCTCCACCACAGCCAAAATCCCCACCTAAGCCATGAGAATGGCTATAAAAGAACACATCTGCCGACCTCTGATTTTTGGTGTCTTCCTCCTCCCATCTCAATGAGAGGGGAAGTTCCACAACATGAGTCACAAGCCATACGCAGCCACCTTGCGGCAACCAGGGAACCACCACAGAAGAGGATGTCACCACAAGCACAGCTACCCAAGTGGAAGCAGATACCACACAGGAGCGGAGCCGTCAGCTACAGAGACGGCACCAAAGAGCCGTGTTTCTAGGGAGGCATGATAATTGCAGCGGCAGTAGGGCAGCCCTACAACTCCACTTCTCCCTGCCTGGCTCTACAGTTCCTGACACAAGCTGCTGGGCAAAAGGAAATTGGTGGCACTGACAGGATTCTCTGCTGCCTTACCACGCCGTTTCTTCCGCTTCTCCCCATCTTCTCCAATCTCCCCATCATCCTCTTCATCTTCTTCTTCAGAAGAACTTGTCTCAGAACCAGATATCTCTTCTCCTAGAAATAAAAAGTATGCTTTTTGATGCTTCATTAGAGCCTTCCAATAACACTGACTTGTTATTGTGACAGCAGCACTTATCTGAAATCAGCAGTGCCTGATATCAGCCTATGAGTAGATGCAGAAGTCAGTAACTTTCGAGGAGATGGCTTGCAATAGCTTTGGAAAATTAAGGCTATATAATGCCACATAATGCTGCCAAGTCAGTGTGTATGGTAAGTACCACTCACTATGGTAAGTACCACTCACTATGGTAAGTACCCTGGTATCCTTGAAATGCTACATTATGTTTGCTTAGAAGAAATTCACAATACCTTCATTTCCATCAGAGGCAGAAAATGGTCAAATGAACAACGCTATCTGTTCTATAGTTCAGTACCTACAACTTTAAGAAGTCACCTGTAGCACACTAGGGACGAAACAGCTATGTCTAGATTCCAGGCCCTGAAGAAAGCATTGCTATTTCCTGCTTCTCCTTAATGGTAGAAGTTCCAAGCAGTAAGCCTTACTGGAGTTACTGCTAGAGCTATTTTGTGCTGTGAGCATCTTTGGAGATGGATGTCATATCAAGGGCATTGTTCAGGAAGAATCCTTCTGGAAAGATCCTTGAATGCTGGTAGATTAATCACTATCACAAGCCCATAAAGTTCCAAAGCTTAAAGAAGCTTCTTGTTTCTTCTATGCACTAATTAGATAGTCAGTCTCAGTTCTAGCCACACAAATTCATTTCATTTTAGTCCAAACTGGATCTCACCTCAAGCAAAGAAAACATTTAGCTTTTGTTATCACGCACTTTAAATCCCTACACCACATCCAATCATACCCAGAGACCCCTCAGGTTTTCAGCACACACTAAATTCAGACCAGAATCCACCACCTTATGCTAGTGCCAAGTGCCACCTAGCGAGCAAAGCCAGGCCCTGCGCTGGGAGCATCCTGCTGGGTCATCAGGGCCAGAACAATGACTTGCAATCAGCTTCTGAATTCATGAGACACTTTCAAATGGTCAAGACTTCTCACAGAAGCAGAACCAGCATCAGTCTGGAGAGAAATACTAGGTGGAAGGGGAATCTCACCTTCTTCCAGTTTTTTCTTAAGCTCTTCAATTTCTTTCTGAAACTGACGCAGCAAAGCATCCTTGGGGTCCTCATTAATCCTGGCCTTGTTCTTAATGTTCTTGGCTCTGTTTGCATATCTCAGAGTGCTGATAGTCTCATCGTAATTGTAGTCTGCTGGACCAATGTTTGCACACTAACACATGGAAGAACAAGTTAATGGAGCGTAAAGAATCAGAGTCCAGAACAAATGACCTCACAGGAACCCAGCCTTAGCTCCAACAATACGGTACTGCCATCCTTTCCCAAGCCTTCCTGTTGCTTTTACACCGAGGTTGCTTTTGTCTGCCTAAATACAGCTTGTACTTCATCTTACACATGTGTATTTACATCTTGTTTAGATCCTTGCCTGTGCAGACAGGAGACACCAAAAGCATGCAAAAGGTTTTTTCAACTGTGATGCTCCGAAAAGAACAGGTAAATGGCAGGCTGTTCTCATGGCAAAGTCACTATGCTATCCCTGTATGAACAGATCAACAGCTGCAATTCATGAAAGCATCTCAGAGCTTACCATCATGGTTTTGGAGTTGCCCCCCAGGGAATCCTGAAGGAGTCGCGTAAGCTTGGAGTTGCGGTAGGGCACATGAGTGCTTTTGCCATCCACCAGAGCTGAAATGACATTCCCCAGGGTAGAAAGAGAGAGGTTGATCTTAGTAGCTTCCTTCAGTCGCTGCCCCGTTGCTCCGGTTTTTGCTTGTCTTTCAGAACCCTGGAAAAGGAAGCAAAAGCAATTGCAATAAAACCTGCCACGTGATCTCTCTCCAAATAGCATAGCTACCCCTAAATCGTTGCTAATGGTCAACTCACAAAGCACCTCCATCATTACTAGAGGACCTAGCTATGTACCTCAGACATCACTGACAAGACAAGTGACAGGTGCCAAGTGAAGCTTTTGGTGCCAGCAAATTCTGAATTGCTGGAGGTAACAACTGAGAAAAATACAGTTTTGTCCCTGTGAATGAAAATATTATTAGAAACAAGTCAGCAGTTACAAGGCACCTCAGCTCCTGTCTTTTCTACCGAAGGTCAAGGGAATGAAGTGACACTGCAATTGTTCTACAGGTAGTTTCAGAGCGTGACATAAACACATCTCATGTAAATAAAGTAACAGATAACACACAGGGCTTTGAGTGTTCCCTTCCTTGCCTGTTCTCCAAGTGAAGGTACTCCAGTGTAAAATCCGGGCTACAAAGCCTTTTATCAACACAACTACACTGGTTCAAAGTGAGCAACAGAGGGTGGGAACTTGCACGAGTGAAGAACTGCATGGTCACAATCCCCTAGGATGATTACACTGGAAAAAAAAAACTTTGCAAAGATCCAGCTCTGATATCCAGCATGCTCTTTCCAGTGCAGTCTATATTATTTACAATTACTTCACAGGAAGAACAGAGCCCTCATACAGCACAGGGTCACATACCCTAGAGGCTCTTTCTGGCACACATCTGATTTAAAGCACTGAGTGAATACTCCCTACAAGTCAACTGTCAGACAGAATCCCAGGCTTCAAAGCCTTTAGCAGTCCTGAGGAGCCATGCCCACCACGTTTTGTGGCAGCAGCTGCTGGTTCTACTCACAGCAAGATCCACGAGGTGCAGTTTGCCCATGCGCACGTGCATGTTCCCATCAACTCCCTTCTCACTGCACTCGATGGTGATGGTGAAGATGGCGTGCGAGCGAGAGCTGTGCTCGTTCATGTTTGTGGCACCAACAGAACCTTTTAATTGAGAAAAAGATCAATGAATCACACTCGATTTACTCCCAACTCTACATGCAACCCATTTTTTCAGAAGATGGAAAAAATGCCCAGGCTCAGCAAACTGTGCTGGACACTGAAGTTGTAGCACAGCCTAGACTAGAAGTGTTGCTGCCTTCAGTAGGTCCAAGCTGACCACAGGTCCCATCCAAGAGCAGCAGGAGCTCTCATTTGTTTCTTTTTAAAAGTTACAAAAAAAAAAAAAAAAGTCACTAGCCTAACACTTTGGCAGCTGATCCATGCAAAAAGCTGCTTTTTATTTTTTTTTAAATAAATCAGAGCAAAGCAATCCACATGAGCAGCAACAGTAACTCAGAATTTTACTTCATACAAGAGCTTAATTAAGTCTTCCAGAAAGCATCAACAACCTTCTATTCACAACACAGGGCTAGGCTTTGGTCATCCAGATTAGAACAGAAGGAAAGAACCATGACAAGCACTCGTAGCCCTGACAATGCTGACTGCCTTCACTGCTTCCCCCTGCCTGACTGACTGAGGCACAGCCTACTTCACCTGTCCCTGCACAAAAGGCATTAGGGAGGGGACATCCCTTTTGCTCTGCACCAGCATCAGATCTAGAAGCAAGATCTCAAAGTCTCAAAATCAGACCCTCACTCTGTCTGACAGAGCTGTCAGCCTGCCCACTGTGGGACTACGTACGGTTCTTGTGGCCCAGAGTCATGATTCTGTCCATATCATCTGCGTTGTTTACGACATAAGCTGAAAGGTCTTTGATATAAACTCCCACATCAGGTCTCTCTTTAACCTAAGAGAAAAACAGTTTAGAGGGAGCATGCTTAGAGCCCACACAGCAAATCTCAGTGGCACTGTATTAGTACAGTGATTTACTCCCCCAGATTCTAGTTTGCGCAGAGAACACTGCAGTACTCCAAAAGGATAGCTAGGGAATCAAGACTCAAGCAGGATAATACTTCACTGGTCCTCCCTAGAGGCAAATACAGATTTCAGATCTCAGATTTCAAATCTCACTAAGTCCTAGACTGACTGCCAAGAGGCCTTTACAGGAGAACTGCACGGATGAAACTGACTCAGCAGAGAGCCATTTTCTCACTGTACAACACAGCAAATTGAAGAGACTCAGAGAAATCATGGTGATATCCAACTGCTGCTGTATCTCAAAGGAAACACTGCACACACTGAGGAGTCCAACCTCCCAGTTCCCTTCAAATACTCTCTGGTCTTCACAATAATCTTGCTCAAGGACGTGGAACAAGCATCAGATTCAGAAGAGCAGGCTCACCTCTAACCTCTGTGACTGGTCTTTTCCTAGCAGATCCCGCACTTCTTCATTGTAAATTTCCAGGTAAGACACACGAACTAAAAACCTGAAGGCAAACAGTTGGGAAGCTTTCTTAACAAGATATTTGTTAAAGTCCAGGAGACACGGAAAGCAAAGAAAAAGCACCCATACATAAATACATTCCTGCCACCCCATCCAGAATGGCCTAAGTCATTACTGAGGTCAGGCTTCTTCTACACATGGACAAACAAAAGACAGGAGCAGTAAAGGAAGGTGTTTACCTTGTATCCCCCTCTGCTTTGGCAATGTGACCAAATATATGGGCGAAGGAATTTGGAATAATGCCTCTGAGCTCAGGAACTGCTCTGACCCCTTCCATGGTAAAAGTCTTGCCTGTTCCAGTCTGCCCGTATGCAAAAATGGTGCCTGAAGAACAAGAACATACTAATGAATGTCATGCAGTTGTATAACTGCAGTTTTACCTCATCAATTCTCAGCCTGATAGCACTAAACACATTTTTATGGGCTTGAAACTTTTCACCCTCTCCAGTACGCATTGCTCAATGCTATGAGAAACAGAAATGCTGGACAACCACAGCAAAAATGTTCAAGCCACTGCTTTATCCAGCCTGAAAAATATTTAAGAAGTAGTCAGCTTGTTTTAGCTGTATAGAGCAATTAAAGGGTTGAGAACCAGTAGACATATGGCTCACACGGAAATAATTAAAATCAGACTAATTAATAGCATTGTCAATTAGAGAAAGATCATTATATACCAACCACAAAACCAACGACTGCTAGCACTTCAAGCCACAGCAGAAACATGAGGCTCCCACAGCACAGGTCGCAGTACAAGTGTCCAGTTCTGAAACTGCAAATGCAGCCACAGTTTGGACTAGATAACCATCCCCAAGGAAACCAATGAGAGAGTTTACTGAGATCTCAGCCCAGACATTCCAGAAACACAGAGGTTAATTAATTTTGTCCCAGCACAAAATGAGCTCAACTCAAATTAAGCTCATTGTCAAGTCACTGGCATTACTGTTGGGAAGAAATGAATTTTAATCAGCTGAAGATGGGTGTGTTAGCACAAAAGCTTATTAGGTATTTTGCAAACCTTTAAAAACCTTCTTAATCTGTTGCTTACAGCACAGATCAGAAGCAGTTACAGAGAGCAGTAATTTGTTACCTTACTGCAGTATTCTTTCTTCTACACGTTGTATTTGCATGCATAACAAACACACACAAACCACGGACATGTTCTTCCCAGCTGCAGGAAGCAACCAATTATCTGCCAGGCAGGGCTGATGGGTGTAACTAGTCATCTTAGTTTGTAACAGCAAGTTTTAGAGATGAAAATGCAGCACTTATATGCACAAGAAGAATAGGCATACCTAGATACTGCAGGACCATGGCAGCTGCTGGGGTACTGAAACTGTATAGCCAAGAGTCGCTGAGAATTCTGATAATGAAATAAATCTCCTTTGCAGACAGAAGACAGAGAATGAAAACATACAGCTCACCAGCCTCACTTGCTCACTGCTGTCTCCCACTGTTAGCAACCTCAGCACACACCACCACGGTGGTACTCAGTAAGGAGCACCATCTGGTTGCTGCAGGTCAGAGGCCGGAATAGAAACAACAGAGATGTGGCCCTCGTAAAAGAAGGCTTCCTGTGAGATCATCGGGGACACCAACAGCACAAGGAACATAGATGAAATAAACCAGGAATTTACCATTGTAGCCTTCCAAGACGGAGTCAATAATAGGTCTTGCAGTTAGGTTATAGACATCCAGCTGCTTACTCTCTGGTCCAAAAACAGTGTCAAACGTGAATGTCTTAGGAGGTTCATTGGACGAGTCTGCTTTGTGGACTGTGATGGTTCCTCTCATCTCATCCACACTGACTGCCATTTTGTACCCCGTCGCTTTCTCTCGCTCATTAAGGGGCCGGCACCGAACAACCACCTTGACATTATCACAGCTCTCTGGCCTGTCCGGCTTCTCAGGCTTGTTGATCTGCAATTATGAAAAGGCAAAACACTCACAGGCTGCAGCACTCCTGTAACAAACCCATGTGCTTAAGCTGTAGATGCATGCTTCTCAGCAGAAGCATAAAAGCCACACTTAGCCCAGAACTGGTTTATAATTAAAGCTAAGGGAATACCCTGCACTTACTCCGTCAAAGCAATCTTCTGTTTGCAACTGCAGAAACCAAATGAGTTAAACCTGAGAACTTCATTCATCTGTTAAATCTTTCAGCAAACAACTTTGTGCCTGCAAACAGCTTGCTGGAAGCAGAGGCTTTTTTGCCACTCCTTTAAATTCACGGAGCTTGTTGTCCGAATAGGGAGCACAAGGAAACAGCCTCAAACCTCACCGATGACATCAGCAGATAGCAGAGGGCATTGGCTGAAGAATTCAGACAAGCTTCAGTGCGTTTGTTGAAGGTGAACGACTCTGAAAACTCAAAGGTTGGCTCACAGGACTTCACACAGCCTTTCTCTCTCGGTTACAGACGCGGATTTGGACACTGAACTGACTGACAGTGCTGACAACGCTTCTCCTGACAGAGGAGCTCCAAAAGCCGCTGGCCGCAGCCCGAGGTGCCGCCCGCTGAGCGATGCTACGGATCCGCACTCAGCCGTTTGTAAACCCGCACCTCGGATGTCAGCAGGGAACAAACCGCTACCTGAGCTCCTCGCCTCCACATCCGCAGGGCCTTTAGCAGAGGCTCTGACAGACGCAGAGCTGCTCCCATCCGGGTGGGGAGGGATCTTGCATCCCACATCCCGCACCCCACTTCCCCCCCCCCCCAGGACGGCACAGAT